GACACAAACCGCCCCCCCCCCCCCCCCCCCTATTTAATTCTAGAAAAAAACAAAATTTTTTAGGATTTGACCCAAAAAAACTTTTTTTTTTTTTTTAAGATACCAGTTTAAAGGAATAGTCTGATATGGAGAAATTTAACATAAGAACATCATAATAATCCACAAGTAATCCACACGACTCCAGTCCATCAGTTAACATCTTGTGAAGCAAAAAGCTTCTGTTTAACTTAAACCATTGCTTCTGGCTAAAATACAAGTCCTCTATCCATAATATTGCTTCCTCCTGTGAAAAAGTCGTCTTGTCTGAATCAGGAGAGAAATAAGCACAGATCAAGCACCGTTTATAAGCCAAAACAGTTCTAAACAAATAGGTGGGTTGATATGCAGGAAGCATTATTTTGGATTATGGAATGGTATTATTGCCAGAAGCAACAGCTTTCAGACCTTTGTTAATCCTTATGCAATCCTATGTAAATCCTTAATTTCTCTCCTTTACACACACACACACACACTGTCTTTGCATTCATACACAATCCATAAACTATAGTTTACAGACATAGTTTCTTGATATTCAAACATATTTCCACAGAGTCATACTTTATGACAATATGCTCAATATAAATACTTTGGCTTGCCAATGAGATGCATTCTGAAGATTTTTTGGGAATACATTTTGCATACAGTATTCATTGATGCTTTCAGAGAAAAATGATGTGATTGTCACTGACTGCTTTCTGCTTTTTAAATCAGTCAGTTGTTTACTGGTCAATGATTAAGTGCAAACATGATTGTCTCAAGCTTATTGAGGTTTGTGAAAAGGTAAGGTCATAAACATTTCCTAAAAAGTGATATATCACATATTTGATTATGAAAATGATCACAACAAATAAATGACTTTAATGGGGAAATTACAGTGGAGAGATGGGGAATTATCGTAAAAGAAGCAGAAACCAGAGTTATGTTATTAAATCATCATAACATGCTTCCCAATTCTGTGAAGTTGCTGCCAGGAACTGATGTCAGTAGTTCTGAAGAGACATTTGCTTAAAATCAGGACAAATGTCATTTCACAATGCATCATCATATATACAAATCATATACATTCCTGCTTGTCTGAAACTGAACGGAAGCAAATATTGCACACTGTCATAAGATCTAAAAAATATGGCTAAAATAAATGTGCGTGTCAAATTTAGGAATTTTGTCCTTTAGGTTGAACAAAAGGATTGTTTTCTTCAGTGTTTAGATTTTTTTGTAACCTGTAAACATGCCTATTTAGTATTCTAATGCAAAATCTACCTCCCCTGTTCTTTTCACTACAGTCTGGCCCAATACTGACCCATATTTTGATCATTTCCTGGCACCTGGACAGGTACAGAAACGCATGGAGAAATCAAACCTAAAACAGAAAAAGATGGAAAATGTCATGCACTTTTATCTATTAAAGGAGTCGTACACCAAAAAAAAGAAAATTTGCTTAAGATTTACTCACCCTCAGGCCATCCAAGATGTAGATAAGTTTGTTTCTTCAACAAAGCAGATTTGGAGAAACGTTCCCACCTGCACTGTTGCCATGCGGATGATGATAGACAGCTGAGTTAAAGGATGTGCTCAGTGAAGCGTGTGTTTGTGAACAGGAAGTCCCGCCCCCAGACCGCCTCTGGTTTTGCAGCTTCTCCTCGCGCCTCCATTTGGCTCTTCGATTGGAAAACCACACCTATCAATCAAGGTCCAATATATAATATGAAGTTATCTATCATATTTATTTAGCTGCTTTTGCGAAGTCAACATAAAGGCAAGGACAGTTCCTCACTTGTATCCTTGCCTCCGGAAGGTCAATTTTGTTTGCGAGTCGCTCCCGTGCGAAAACATCTGGATAATGTGTTCTCTCAAACTCTGTTAGACGGGTGTGAATGAAGTTTAGTAGTACATTTTTTCTTGCTTGGCTTTATTTTTTGTCATTTAATGCAATATAATTAATACTTTTTGAAGCTTTTTGTCTATTTTCTTACCTTTATCCAAGGCCTCGATCTGCTCTGTTGTGAAGCTGGTTCTGTTGCGCTGAAGTTTCCTCTTTAACCGCAGTCTCAGTTGAGATTCTTCTCCCTCATCTCTTTCCCCATGTCCTCCTTCTTCTGCCATCCTCCTATCCGTCTCCAACAGGCAGCAATCTGGAACAGAGGGGAAAAAAATAGTTACCAATTTGTAGAATGAAATACATAAATGCTCAAAAAAAAGTCACTCTGTTGACGTCACAATGTGTGGAAGCTGGGAACCATTATATGAATTCTTAAGGACTAGTTCATAGAACTATTTTACTATTTTACAATAATAATAAACCATCATAATCAAAAAACAAGTGGTAGTTATGTAAGTAGCCAAAATTGCTAAGCAAATAAATAAAAAGTCTTAAATTTTAGCTTCTTCAGAATCACCAGCAAAAAAAATTTAAATTCTAAAAATTCTAATAAATAAACGAACAAAGGAATTAATGTATGACATACAATTATAGTTCAAATAAATTTATACACAGGTTCAATTTCAAAATTTATTTCAAGCATTTAAAGGGGTCCTAGGATGCCCATTTTCCACAAGTTGATATGATTCTTTAGGGTCTTAATGAAAAGTCTATATCATAGTTTGGTTAAAATTTCTCAATGGTAGTCTAAAAAACTCCTTTTTTACCCTGTCAAAAACAGCTCTTTTCAGAGCATGCCGTTTTGTAGCATTTTCCTTTAAATGTTAATGAGCTCTGCTGACCCCGCCCCTCTCTTCCGAGCCGCTCTCTGAGGGACTGTTTACTTTAGCCGCATTCATCGCGAAACTTGCTAATTAGCACATTATTAGGAAAGGCGATTTGCAAAGATTCATTAAAAAACCTTATACTCACTTCTTCTGTAGGTGAAGCTGGATCACGAATGATTCGCGCAAACATAGACACATTTATGTACATCGGGGGCGCATTCCCTTCAAAAACAAACATAATCCACTGCTGCTATGTTCATTATTACATCCAACAACAGAACATCTCAATCGCTTAGGAGTCATTCTTGTCTACAACTGCTCCAGCGGTGAAACAATGGCGGACTGATGACTAGAGATCGTTGGACATTCCTGAAGTAGGAATGTTTGCATTTCTTCTCACACATTTTATTGTGTTTGTTTTAGCATGACTGAATTTAGATTTGAGTTTATAGATAAATAGATGATAGATAGATAGATAGATAGATAGATAGATAGATAGATAGATAGATAGATAGATAGATAGATAGATAGATAGATAGATAGATAGATAGATAGCTCAAGATGCAAATATGTCAGCTGTTACAATTGCAAACATTAGAAATATGCTGGGAAAAGTAATTTTGAATAGAAAAATGTTGATTCAAATTATAAAATTAGATTTCAAACAATTGTCTTGTTTCATTAAATGAAACTAAGTAAAACCAAATGAGCAATTTTTCAGTCTCTCCACTGTTCATTGTGACTGAGAATAAATCACATACTGTCACTAACTTTTTTTTTTTTTAAATACATCAAGATTATCTCATTAGTTTATCCATGGAATAAAATAAATGTCATGTCCTTAGTTGGGAAAACTTGGAATTATATGGGTTAATTCAGTTCAATTAAGTCTGATTAAATAATATCTGATGTGACCTTTCTTACTGAATATATTAGATCATAATTGAACTTTTTGAAATAAATAGTAGTTTCTTTGAATTAAGCACAACGATTTCCCAGAATTACTATTGTATATTTAATGCGATAAACACAATACATTTTATGCTGGGGAAGGAATATTGAGAGAGCAATGAGATTTGGATGAGGGTATAAATAAACCAGTGTGTGTGTGTGTGTGTGTGGGTTGGGGAACAGGGGGATGCCACATTACTTTATTTCCAGTTGACCATTAGATCATAATTGAACTTTTTGAAATAAATAGTAGTTTCTTTGAATTAAGCACAACGATTTCCCAGAATTACTATTGTATATTTAATGCGATAAACACAATACATTTTATGCTGGGGAAGGAATATTGAGAGAGCAATGAGATTTGAATGAGGGTATAAATAAACCAGTGTGTGTGTGTGTGTGTGTGTGTGGGTTGGGGAACAGGGGGATGCCACATTACTTTATTTCCAGTTGACAAGACTTTGCATCCCCTACCTTTGTCTCTCTCATACACTGCACACACTGCTTTATAAAGCAGTTACATATTTAGAATCTATTTTGTGCTCTAAAGTACTAAACGAAAATATATTTAAAAATATATATAAAATAAAATGAACATATTGTAATAAAATATTTTATAATATAAATTATTATTATTATTAAAACAGATTTATTTATTTTTATGTCCCCCTTGGTAGAAATCGCGGTCTGGGGCATCTAGATTGGACCAAAAGGGCACTTTAGTGTTGGCGATTAAAGGGACAGGGTCTCAAGCCCCCCAGGCCGAAATCATCAACTAGAACATTCTGTCAAACTATCCTATGAGTGCCTATAATATACAATATAGGTCAACTAGGCCATTACATTATTGCAGTTATGTTATCAATCAACTTCGCATGTGTGGATGATAGCACAAAAGACCATTTTACAAAAATAAACACATAAGCAAACAAGCAAATAAATAAACCTTATGAAGGAGCATGACCCGGGACTCCACTAAAACAGTTCACACTTCAACCCCCCCACACACAATGCTCAAACTAAAAATACGCCCTTGATGATAATAATAATAATTATTGTTTTTGTTATTATTAAAGCATAAAACTTTGTATCAAAATGTTTTTAAAATCATGAGAAACATACATTTAGGCAAGTGTCCAACCTTTTGACTGTGTATGTTAATATCATGATGTATGTGCAGTATATCATATACGTTAACCAGGACTTTGGGTTGTGTACACAACATGTGCATTTTTTCTATGTGACCGTGTGAATGTGTCACTATGGTTATTCTCGTGCATGCGTGTATTTATGAACACAAGGCTCTGTGATCACGTGACCATGTGGGTCCGAGTGTGTGTGTGTTTTCTTGCAAAAATTCATATAAGCTAGCATTAGGACATGCATATATATATATATATATATATATATATATATATATAATAAATGTTACTTAATTTAATGTATTTTCATAATGAGTGTTTAACTCGGGCGGGAGGGAGCTGTGGAGGGAGAAGATGTAGTCACCATAGCAACAATGCCACGACAAATATTCATCAAGTCCTTAAAACAAAGTCGAGCCGAGCAGCTTTATCAAATAACTCGCGTAGTTCATCCTGGGACAGTCAGCAGAGAGACGCAGAGACGAACTACAACACTTAGAAGAATGAATGGTTTGCTTCCTCCCACAATCAAAAAGAAACATTCCCATCTTTTGCGTATCATAGTGCTACTTTGATGGAACCGCGGCTTCCTTCAACGCGTTCTTTCCATTTCTATACATCCTGTTGGTTCAGTTACGCGGTTTCTCCATCGTTTTTTCCCTCGTGTTGTGTTGCCCCTGGCGACACCGTGCCGCATCCTCTCTCTCTCTCCCTCCTCTCTGTCCCTGTCACCTTCAATCGTGCTGTAAAAGCAGACACACAGAGCCTGAGGACAGAGCGAGAGGAGCACAACCGAGACAGAGACACAGCAGCACAACAGAAGAGGAAGGTGAACACGGAGTCATGTAGTGATTAACGTCGGCATCTGTCCGCTTAATCTATTATTAATAACAGTGTTAGCACCCCCTTGTGCCAGTTCACAAATCTTACAACAGAAATTAAAGGGGTCATATGATGCGATTTCACACGCGTGTGTGTGTGTGTGTGTGCGAGCGAGAGAGAGAGAGCGTGCATCACATCACATCACAGTGGAGTCAGCTGTTTTAACTGTGGCTTGTGTACTGCATACATACCAGCTTCATCACTGTCTGTCCCGCGACTCTGTTCCCCTTTCGGGCTGTCTTTACATTTATTTTGAAAGATGAAGCTCGCGATTATGGTATTGCTCCACTATTTTTCGCCGCAGCATTGGGGGAATTGGTGATCCTCTGCCCATCTTGACTTCTGAGAGACACTGCCACTCTGAGAGGCTCTTTTTATACCCAATCATGTTGCCAATTGACCTAATAAGTTGCAAATTGGTCCTCCAGCTGTTCCTTATATGTACATTTAACTTTTCCGGCCTCTTATTGCTACCTGTCCCAACTTTTTTGGAATGTGTAGCTCTCATGAAATCCAAAATGAGCCAATATTTGGCATGACATTTCAAAATGTCTCACTTTCAACATTTGATATGTTATCTATATTCTATTGTGAATAAAATATAAGTTTATGAGATTTGTAAATTATTCTATTCCTTTTTTACTCACAATTTGTACAGTGTCCCAACTTTTTTGGAATTGGGTTTGTAGATGCATTTAGGAATCTTTAAGATGACTTACAACAGAACAGCAATGCATTTTATGGACGACCGTTTCGTGAACCTAGGAGAGGAGGTAATTCTGACTTTGCTGTGACAATCTGGCGCTTCTGAATCAGCTACTGTTTTGTTATTAGTTTAAGTATTTGCTATTAACACATATTCACCACTGTGTCTGTCACGAGACTCTGTTCCCCTTTCGTGCTCTGTCTTTACATTTATTTTGAAAGATGAAGCTCGCGATTATGGTAAGTGGCGTTACAAAATAATGTGTTTTTTGAACATTAAAGCATGTCAACATATTCTGTTACACCAAATAATGATCTTTAAAAAAGCATCATATGACCCCTTTAAAGAATTGAAAAGTTGATCCATATAGGCTACCCTTAAAGTCGATCCATACCTGTACGGTTTTCTTTCTTCTGTTGAACACAAAAGAAGATATTTTGAAGAATGTGGGTAATCAAACAGTTGACGGTGGCCATTGACTTCAATATAGGTAAGAGTTGACCGTAACCATTGAATTCCATAGTATAGGGACAAAAAATAAAATTCTAGAAGTCAGTAGCAACCACTGGCTACCCACATTCTTCAAAATATATTATTTTGTGTTAAGAAGAAATAAATTTGTACAGGTATGGATCAAAATTCTTCTGTGTTTAACAGAAGAAATAAATTCATACAGGTCTGGAAAGACATAAGGGTGCGTAAAGGATGACACAATTTTGAGGTGAACTGTCCCCTTAACAATTCAACTTTTTGTGAATTTTTGTGTAAACTAACTGAATTTCACTGCAAACATTTTCTGTA